CTTCACCCTTCCAAGTATGATTGATTTCCTTTCCCAAGGACTGGACCCTTCCACCAACATACCTGGCGAATATGAGATGGAGCTTCAAAATCCTTGCCTCCCAAGAAGCAACTTGGTTTCATCCTCTTCAGAACAGACCTGTTTATCCTCTTGACAGTCAATTTTCTTCTCCAGTACCACAACTCAAAAACATCAATTCTTATTCTATCATTCTTAGTTATTGCCCAGCTGTTTGATGTATAGCAAGTAACTGCAAAGATCATGGTCTAGGTATGTTGCTGTTGTTGTTAGGTGTCATCAAGTTGTAGATGACCCTTAGTGACCCTATGAATGAAAGAACACTTGAATGAATGAACACTTGCATAACTTTCATCGTTTCTACATGTTCATAGAGTTTCTGGAGGCAAGCTATTTCAGAAGTGGATGCCACTCCTGCTTCCAAGCTTCTCTTAATCGGGGAGCTCCACTACACACTGTCCACCTCCAGTCTTTCTCTGCAGCATTACTTATTAAGGCTAACAATCTATATGCGTCCTGATAATTCTTAAATTTGCAATGCAGCTATAAAACTGAGCACAACTTTCACAACTAACTAAAATAACCAACTTTTCTAATTTTGTCCCAGCTCTTATCAGTCTTTGCTATGACACTCCCTGGCTCTTTGGAGACCTAATTAAATGATAAATTTGTTTCACCATCACTCACCACCAACAGATCTTCTAGATATATCCTATGTAGTTGATTTTTAAAAATAAGAAGTCTGACATTTAATCAATATTTTACAGATTGATTAAAAGGCCTTGACTCAATCTACAGCTGAGCTCATGGTTTGAGAAAGCACATCCAATAAAGTAGAACTGCTTTACATTGTTTTTGTCTTACCAAGTAAATAAATAAAATCAATACAATAACCATAAAAAAAAAAAGGTATGGCGATAGGACACATCCCTGACACATTCCCTATCTGACTTTGAACCATGCAGTGTTCAAACTATAGAAATGATCCCTGAAAGTAGAGGCTTCAAAGATCCATCTTGAATGACCTTATATTCCCACAGTACCGATCCTTCTCCAGTTTCTTTGTGCTTTGTTGTGGGGCGAGGATAGGAGGGTGGTAAATCAGTTCATGTACGTCATGAGTGGATTTCTTATTCAAAATGCCTTTCCTAGCTACTTTCTTTCCCAAGGCTGGGTGGTAATGTAACATGAAATAGACTGTGTATAAATGACTTGTAATTAATTAGATTGGTTGGTTTTGCCCTCCTGCCTAGTTTAAAATGAGCAGGTTTAGTGCTAAAAAGGGGCATTTCATTACAAGCAAGTAAGAAGCAGAGAATGCAGCATGCGTTCTTGGGGACCAGAGAGTCCGGTGCCTGTCAAACCTGTATGGTAGCAGCAGCCGCCTCAGCAGAGAACCTGGGACCAGCGTGGGACAGAACTGACCTGGGATCGCAGCTCCTGGAGCCAGAGCAGGGCTTTTTGCCCCAGATTGCAGGACACTCAGAGGAGACACCATAATCGGCAGGACTATCAGGGAATATTGTAACACTGACCTCAGCTGTGAGGCTGAAGGTCAAAAGGCCTGCAACCGCATTTAAGAAACTGCCCCGGCTGAGGTATTGTATCCTGTTCCCAACCTGAATCGTAACTTAACTTCCTGAGTAAATCCCACGACCATGGTTGTAGTTCTCAGATCTGTGTGACGCTCCAATGGATTGATTTCAAGCCCAGCAACAGGGCAGTACAAGTGGGGCTGGAACTAGCGCTGGAATTGGTAGTAGAGTTAGGAGCATGGCAAGACCTTAGGGGAACTGGGATGGGATTTTTACTTAATATTTTTATCATGCCTATACATTGTTTCTTACCTGTACGATGTTTTATATCATCTTTCATTTTCATTTTATTTTCTTTATATATATTGTGGGGATCCCCACCCCCCTTTGCTACAGGTCAGAGTCTTAAATACGGATAAGCTCAACTCAATACTGGGCCAATTGGTAGCAGCATGACAGATGGCGAAGAGATTGAGGTTGTTAACAATTTCAGCTTGCTGAGACCCACAGTCAATACTCTTGGCACCAGCAGTCAAGAAATCAAAAGACAAATTGCACTGGGAAATACGCTATCAAGGGCCACTCCAAAGTGCTAAAGAGCAGCAATGTCAATCTGGAGACTAAGGTGCTCCTGATTCAGGCCCTGGTCGCAAAAATTACTTGTTATGCATAAGTTAGACAATGACGAGGGATGACAGAAGTGATGCCTTTTGAGATGTAGTGCTGGAAAAGGAGAGAATGAAACCAGGCTGCTCCTTGGAAGCAAGGATTTTGAAGCTCCATCTCACATACTTTGGGCATGAGGCCAGGAGGGACCAGTCCATGGAGGACATCATGGTTGGAAGGGTGGAGGGACAGTGCAGCTCAGGAAGATCCCAGATTGGATGGATTGACACAGGAACTGGGGTAATGGGGTAGGTGTGTTGATGTCAATGAGCCTGGCTCAGGATAGGGCAGAGTTCAGAGCTGTTTTACCAAGGGTCACTATGAGTCACAGGTGACTTGATGGTACATAACAAGAACAATCACCTTACTACTTTCATGAAAACATGTAAGCCAGCTATATACCTCATGCCCTGATATCCCCTTTTTGTTGTTGATTGCCATAGAGTTGAGGATAACTCACAGTGACTATGACCAAAAGACCTAATGCCTTTCCGTAACTATCACCACATCTCCAAGCTCAGAGTTTTCCGAGGCACGTGATTTAGGAAGTGGATGCCACTCCTGCTTCCAAACCAATTTTACAACTGGGAGCTCCACCACACACTGTCTACAATGGGAAATCATTATGGTATTTGATACCCCAATGGGTTCAGCATCATAGTGAACCCAGGTTACTTCATACGGCACATTGTCAAAGACTGATGTGCAAAGTGGAGGAGTGTTCCTCCAGATATAACAGCACTAGTCTCCTTTAGCAGTGGTTAAGTGTCGAGTTGAATATGACTCAGAGTAAGCTTTTTGCACAGAAGACTTGTACTCTGTTCTATAATTAACATCATTTCTGTACAATTATAAGAGAGTTTGTTGAGTTTCCAGAGGCATCTAGTTTAGGAAGTGGATGTCACTCCTGCTTCCCAACATGACTCATTCTAGAAGCTCATAATGGGTAACCATTATGGGATTTGACATGACTATGGAAAAGTGTTTAGCATCACAGCAACTCCAAGTTTTCAGTACAACAAACAGACAAATGATTGCTGTGTCTTTTAAAGAATATTCAATCTAAAATTAACAAATATGTGGACCAAGGGCCCTACAGGACTTTAAAGCCACACCCTCTAGCAGGCCTCCACCCTTACTCTAAGGCTCAAGGGCTACCTGCTTTTTTTGGGGGGTGGGGAACAATAGTAACACATAACAAGCATGACCCCAGAAACTTCCCTTATGTGACCGCCATCAAGATGAGACCACCATGGAGATGCTAGCCCACCCCACCCCTTTTTAGAAAGCCTATTTCTGATTTGCCCATCCCTATCAAACCAATGGGAACTGTTTTTGTATTGTGGATGTTGCTGATGAGAGCTGTTTCGCTTTGAGAAGTTAATGGAGGTCAGATATGTTCTAATAAAACTGCATGGTGTGTGCTTTGGGAGAATGTAATATATTGCACATTCTCTCACATTGTGACTGTAAAGTCAGTATGTGCTCTGCAGCATACCAAATGTCTACAGATAATTTCAATATACTAAGAATTTTAATAACTTAATGTTTAAAACAGAAACACATGCAAAGAAATTCCGAGTAGATTTAAAATATGCAACTTTATAGAAAGTTTACAAAAAGAAAATTAAACCATTTGCAAGAGCAGAGACTGTAAACTGGCATTATTTTTTAAAAAAAAAATGGGTTTTGGCAACATTTACATTAGGAATTTCTATTAGTAATTCCATTAATAAATTTTCATTTTAATCTCATATAAACCTCATTTTAAATCTTCCATTCTTGGCATCCCCCCATTGGAAAAGAAAACGGAGAGAATTTTTTTTCCAGTATAATTCATTTTATTATTAAGTACAAGAAAACATTTCCAGGTCTGTTTCCAATTTTAGCTTCAAAATAAATAGACTTAAAATTTATCGCTTTTAATAGCTGTGCTCACAAATCGATGTGTAGAAATATAAAAAGATTAATCCACTCATCTGCTGGCAGGCTTCCAAATTCCATGCACAAGATTTTTTTCTGTTGAAAGCAAAAAACTGAAGTACAAACTGAAGTGCGCGCATTTGAAATACTTCAGTAACATAAAGCATTCCAGTTGATGCGAGGTATCATAAATAGCATATAAACGAAAATTTGTTTCTTATAATCTGCCCCATGCCCAGAATTTTGTTTTCTACCATCCATTCCATAGATCAAACACAATACAAATGTGTGCAAACAGAACAAACTAACTGAAATAAAAGCAGAGCAAAAGTCAGAATTTACTTATGAGGTAAGTTTTACATTCATGTGTTCAAATATCACAGTTTAAGATATTCTTTATAAAGAATCATTAAAATATCCCTTTTCTTTTTTTGTGGTTTTTCCTTTTTTTTTATTGTGTTAAAATATCCCTTTTCATGGAATCATTATTTCAGGAGAGTCAAATCAAGTGTAGTAAAAATCCCATGCTTCTGAGGACATTAAATGCCATGCACAAAAAAGTTAACTTTCATAGTTTGCTATCAATTAAAAATAAGCTCATTAAAACCACTTGGGATTACATATGTTATCTTGAAAAATTTACTAAAATTCCAACGCCAATTTAAGTATCTGTGACTAACTTAAGCCATCGAGCCCCAAGACAACGGAGTGAAGAAAATGTGAACAGAATCCACGCTGGAGGGACGTGAGCCTGAGAATCTGGCCCCTTGGGCTGGGAGAGCGCCATGGTCACGCACTGCTCGTCTGGAGATCAACACTTCTGAGGCCTCTGCATTAACCAGGCGGCCCGGTATCCAGTCAAAAGGAACCGTCAGCCTGGAAGATGCCGTACTTTCCGGTGGTGAGCCAGCTGGGTTCCGAGGCTGCAAGCTCTTCCCCTTGGCCCGGCTGCAGACCAACCTGGACCTCGGCCTTCAGTGTCCTTATGCTGCAGAGAGGCGCCGGGTGGAAGCCATTCAAGGCCTGATGAAAGGGAGTGGTAAAGGCCCACTTTCTGTCCCCTGTCAGCTTCCTGTAATTCAAGTCGCCCTTGAATAAAATCAAATCTGCCTTCTGGAGCTCCGCATACAAGTCAGGTGCAACCTGAGCCATGGCACAGTACTCGTGGGGCAGAGTCCAGAACATGTGATCGTGGTAAACCCACGTGCCCGCCTTAACGTACGCTTCCCAGTTGACCCCGCACTTGGACATCCACTTATGATTTGAACGTTTCATTTGTTCCATGAGCCAATTAAAATCATGTAGAGTAGTATCAGACACAAACCAGGGAATCGTTTTTCCATAAAAGTGGATCTCAGAAGTCAGTTTGAAGGACAGTAAGAAGTCAGCTAATACAAAATCTGTAATAAGTTCAAAGCCAGAATTATCCAGGACAATGTCCACTCTAACAGGTGCTTTGTCCCTTGTTTTCCTGAGACGGTTAAGCAATGACCAAAGACGTTCCGTGTCATCCACCAAAATGAAAGGCTTCAGCTCTTCCAGCAAGTTCATTAAATTGTTCTTCTGAGAACTACTCTCCCCACCTGAGAGGGACAGATCGCACTTATTCCCCCACAGAGAGACCTAGAGGACAAAAGCACACAGCGTTCACCTTTCTTCTGATTAACCAACAAAACTCACGTACATAAGCTGTGGAAGTGACGCAGTATGTGGGGTAGGGTGGTGTATAGTGTGGTGGTATGGTCTACAGTGTGGTGTTGTATGGTGGTGATGTGGTGTGGTCATATGTGTGGAGTGGTGGTGATGATGAGATGTGACATGGTATGGTGCAGTGTGGTGGTGGTATGGTGGTGATGTGTTGTTGCATGGTGGTGTTAATACGGTGTAATGTGTGGTAGTGTAAGGTGTGGTGTGGTGTGTGGTAGTGTGGTGGGATTGGTGGTGATGGCAATGTGGTGTGTTGTGTGGTGGTGGTGGTAGTGGTGTGTAGTGTCGTGGTGGTGATGTGTGTGGTTTAGTGTGGTGCGGTGGTGGTGGTAGTGGGGTGGTGTGGTAGAGGATTCCTAGGAATATTCATAAAGCTCATTTCTACAGAACTCTCCACTATATGACAAACTGACCACCAGAGCTATTCTTTCATGGAGAGATAGTATCATATTGTTTAAACAGAATGAAGGGTCTTGCCAATGTTAGATCACCCTCTCAGACTTAGTGTTTTCATAATCCAAAATCAATAAAAGCAAGACTGGTTTGTCTCGTCCCTACCCTTCCCACTGTCCAGATTCTCTGCACAGTTCAACAGCCCCAGGCCACAGCAACCGTTCTGGAATTTGGTCAGTTTTCTCACTTGTAAAATAAAGATATCAGACAGTGTGGTATTTATAGACGCTTCTAATTCCAATAATCTCGAATTCTATTTTATGTAGAAACAATTTCCTTTTTTAAGAAAATTAAAAATTATAATTAGCCTTTAGATCAACTGTTTCTTACATTACACATTTACAATTGCAGACTGTAAAGTCAGACAGCCTTGGGTTCAAATCCTAGAACTTCCAATTAATGATCACTAGGAAATGACACAGTATCACCAAGGTTCTACGACTGAAAAACAATGGTAAGTACAAATCACAGTCCTTGCCTCATAGGATGACTGTGGAAGCAGCTTAAATCCATGCATGTGTCAGGATTCACCCAAAGCCTGGCACATAGTAAGTACCTGAGAAATACGAGACTAAATATTCTCAATGTGATTTCATATAAGAGGAAGGTGCATGTTCCAGCTAAGATGATTCTTTCTGAAGGAAAGACAAATGCGTGGACAAAGTGTCGGTGATGTGCAACTTTTCTGCACAGGAAGCCCAGGGGAGAGGCCCCGCTGACAGGGAGCTCCACTAGCAAACCCAAGATGGGCGAATCCACCAGCTGCTCCGAAGGACAAAGGTGGCCATCACTCGTGCGACTCTCAGCCCCTTAAAATCTCTCCTGGAGGATCAGCTGTGAGTCTGTTCCAGTTCAACAGCTGAGTTGTGGGATTTTCTCTGCACAAAGCCCCCTCACAGCCTCCTGTCTCATGTGGAGGAAAAAACCACAGGCCTACCTTTGCTGACAAAACTTCAAAGTCCACCATGCCCCTCTGCCCTCCAATCTGCCTCAATGGATCTTGGCTGCACAGTGGCCAAGCACTCAGCGAATTCACGTAAAGAATGGGATATCAAGCCCATTATCCACTCTCCTAGGGAACACTGGAGGTCAAGTGGAAAGGAGCTGCTTCCTCCTGTGTGATTTACTGCCTCTGAAAACCCACAAGAGGGTCAGCTCTGAGGCAGCTCCAACTCGATGGCACACAACAACAGCCACTACTCTCCTGGAGAAAGAAGGGCTTGAGAGTCAGCTCTGGGTGTGCCGGCCTCGGGGCACCGTGAAGCCCTGCCTGGGGCTGCAGGGGCCACCTGGGTCGGAACTGATGAGACAGCGGAATTGATAAGACAGCGTGGCTGTTAGCTCAGCGCCTCTCCTTGCACTATGCTAATCAGCCACCTAGCAGGATCCCACTCCAGGCCCTGAAGGAACATCCCTCCCCTAGAAACTCACAGACTCGCTCCTCTTCCTCCTCCACTCCCACGTGCAACTACCTCCTCGCAGGGCCTCTGTCCCGACCCACCCTGCCCACTACTGTGACTCCTGCCACCACCACAACCCAGATCCCTCTCCCCGGCTTTACTCCACTTCAGAGTGGTGTGTACCATTATCCCGGGGAGTATCTCTAACGCCTTCGAGAAAAATGAGTGCTGGAGACACAGCTATGCACTATGTATTTTCAAATGGTTCTGCTTCTAACACTTTTGAATTTTGGGATGTTTTCAGTGAGAATAAAACCAAACCTAAGATAGGAGAAGTGGAATAGGTCAACTGTCTACCTGAGTATCAGCACCCAAGGGGGTCCCTGGGGCACATGCGGTGTGCAAGCAACTGGGCTCCATCCACCCTGCACACAGGGACCTAGTCTAGTCCTCACTCCAGCTGCTGCCGCATCCCCATTTTACAGATGAGGACCTCGAAGCTCATGGAAATGAGGGCATTTGATGCAAGTCTATCCACAAATAACCCAAGAGCCAAGACTTCGGGCCAAGTCGGCTAGGGCCCGATCAGGCTGGGGCCAGATCAAACCGTTCTGGCATGGTGTCCCAGGAGCAGCACAGGCCCCCAGGCCAGATAACTCCCCGCCACTGAAATTCATTTCCCATCAGGGCAGAACAGATTTCACATCTACTGCTGTAGAGTAAGTGGATTTTCCTCTCTTCAATAACACTGTAACTGAAATTACATTTTAAAAGACCAATCCTAAAAAAAAACGTCAAAATGCATCCTTCTAGTTGATTTACATTTTTTTTCATTGTCTAAACCGCGAACTCTCACACTTACCTGAAGAAATTTAAGAAATTCCTTTTTCAGCGGCTCTTCACCCAACTCCTCACTAGTTCTCCGCAGCTCCTGGAGGTAGGTGCACAAAGCTATGACAGAGGCCTGAGATTCAAAGAAATTCTGTTCTTTTGATTCTTTAAATACGTCAAAGTAGTCGATTGGTGAACTGGAGGGGGAAGGGGAAAAAGAGTTGAGCATTTATACAACACTGTACATGATATCTTCTTTTTCACATTTCTTAACAGTAATCCTTTTTCTATAAAGGAGAAGAAAGGAAGCATGCAGTCTTGATTCATAGTGACAGACATCAGATACTATTGGTAGTTGCTGAATAATCTAAAGCTCACAGCGACCCTGTGGGCATCAGATCAAAAGCCTGCCCTGACTCTGCCCCGTTTTGCGCCAGCCTCGTGAAGCCCACCATGCGTGAGCCCACTGTTCAAGCCCCGGGGTCAATCTGTCTGGTTGGGTGCATCCACTTTTGCTGACCTTCTATTGCTCCAAGTGTGTCTTTTTTCCAAGGACTGACACCTCTTGACAACATGCCCAAAGTGACCAAGTTTCACCACTCCTGCCTCTGAGGAACATCCGGCTTGTACTTCCTCTGAGACTGATTTGTTTATTCCTTTGGCCGTCCACGGGGTATCAGTAAATACAGCACAGATAATCAAATCACACAAAAAGGGAACCCCCCCCCCAATTCATGTCAGTTAATTATCCAAAGTTGTCAGTTTGGCTGGAAGTAGTAACTACACTATGACTAAGTTTATGTTATTTACCCAGCAGAGTTTCTAAGCCAAAGAAGACTTAAAATTTAAAGATAATTGCTTTATTCTAATGAATATTTTCTGTATGGGTGTAGAGTGTGGCAGGGTTCCAAAGAGCAAACACATGGCTATAAATAGATCATTTCAACAAAATTCAATAATTACTAATACAGTCAAACAGAATTCTAGAAACATTTGTGATAATTCAGACTTAATACTATCATAAATTTAATAATGACAACTTTTTATTATTTATGAGTAAATTTTTTGTCAGCTTTTAATGCCAAGGTGATTTTAACCAAATGTGATAGATGAATTAAGGATATATCATCATGTTAATGAAAATATGAAAGAATATTAATACCTGGATAAGAAAACTGTATCTGCTACAACAACACTTTGCCTTCAAGTCTGAAGCAACTCCTAGTTGACCTTCCAATGGGCTTGCAGAGGCTATAAACTGCATGGGAAAAGACTGCCCATCTTTCTCTGATGGAGGATTCGAACTGGCTGCCTTTGGACTGGCAGTGCAACTCCTTACTCACCAGGCCACCAGAGCTACCCGATTTGCTACAGAGAACTTCCTTAAAGTGCAAGATAGCAAGGATGTCACTCTGAGGACCAGAGTTACCTAACCCAGTTCATAGTACTTTCCCTCACCACCTACTTGTACAAAGCTGCACAACAAATAAGGGAGAATAAAAACTACCTAATGTCTTCGTATTAAGGTGTAAGTGAAGAACACTCAACAGTCCAGACTGCCAGAAGGGTGAGCAAACCTCTTGGGAAAAGTCCAGCCAACAAGGTCCTTGGAGACAAGGATGGTGAAACTTTGTTTCATGGACTGTGAACACGTAATCAAAAGGACCAGGCCCTGGACTAGGACATTATGTTTGGTCAAGAGTCAGTGCTAAAGGAACACCTTCCATGAGCTCGATGGACTGAGAGTGGCCGCAACAATGGGTTCAAATACAGCGGTGACTGCAAGGAGGTCACAGGACCAGGCGGTGTGGGTTCTGTTCTAAGTGGGGTCATCTGGAGTCAAAATTAACTTGGTATCTCATCTAACAAGGACATAGTCACATGATGCAACACCACATAGCAACGAAAATGAAAGAAGTACAGCTATTTGCAAGAATGTGGACAGACTTCACCAACATAATCCTGAATGAAAGAAGCCAAAACTCAAATGTTTTAAAATAAGCAAAGCTAATACAAGCCAGGATGGCAGTCATCCTTGAGGTGGGGCAGCCATGACTGGGAGGAAACAAGGAGGCTTCCGGAGGTCCAGTGATGGCTGCTGGACACAGGGTATGGGACCCCAAGAACCATGGAGTTACACGCTTTAGATTTGTACATTCTTCCACCTGCATAAAAAGTTATTTTAGGGGAGCTCTGGTGGCCTAGTGGCAAGGAGCTGTAACTACAATCCCAGAGGCGCACCATTAGAATCCACCAGATGCTCTGCCGGGGAAGGAGGGACAATCTCCTCCTGTACCAGTCAGATCCGATTTGACGGTACACTCACACAAAAATAAAAAAATAAAAAAAATAAAGTTATTTTAATAAAAGGTTTACAGAGTCTCTCATCTTATAACATTATAAAAAATGTCAGTAGTACCAATGCAATCCCAAACCAGGTCCTGTTAGCACTCTTCAGAGACAGAAAAAGTAATAACCAACTTTATATGGAAAGAAAGCCTGGCTAATCCAAGTGAAGCTGAAGAAGAAAAACAAAGTAGCGGTCTCCCTGA